CATAAACACACGTGACTTTGCTGTGCTATAAATGAATAACCAATAAGTTATAAATACACGATTGTGGAGAGGCGAATTGGAGGGAACGCTCCGGAGAAATCGCAAATATGTATTCCATAAAAATTTACGTACCTAAGCTTCCAAATCTATTTTGAACTACTTTATCGTTTGTATTTATTTGGAACTGTTTTATAATTAGTATATATAAAATACCTCAGTGTTTATAAGTCTGAGACAAATAGAGAATAGTCAGTTATAATTAATTATTAAATTATGTACTGAAAGTCTCAAATTTTTTGTTTTATAATAAAAAGTATTTAAAAGTATTATGGACCTAAAAACAATATTTAGCCTAATATTAAACAATATTTAACCTAAATTATAAGATACGAGATTTGTATCTTGGACCTAAACACAGTATTTAGGTGCATAGTGATTTTGAGTCTGCAATAAGAATAATTTAATAATAAGAGTAATTAAGTAAAAGAAATAACGCAACAAAGAATGCAATACACATAAGATGAAATCGACAAGAGCGAACACGATGAAATATAGAAAAATATCGTGGAGAACAACGCGGATATGACGCGATACGCTTTCGTTACGTCATTTCTCACACCGTGAGCGTTACAAATGATTGCATTAGATCGTGAGTCACTCTTGCCTCGCAAAGTGAACGTAATAGCAATTTTGCACGAAACTATCAGCATTGTGCCACCACTTTGAAACTGGGTCTATCCTACTTGCGCCTAAAATAGTTACCATCAAATCCACGAATCATTTGTCCGTGTCTTATTTAAAAATTTATTTCTGCACTGAAATATCGCGCAACTTCTGACTTCTTAATTCCTATCCATTGTTACTAAAAATCACCAAGTGATATATCGAATTATAATTGCAACTTGATAAGTTTTTGCAACAGAATTGAAAATATTACAATTTTCACGATCTCGAAAATATTAAATATCGGGAAATTTGACGAGCTTTTTAATCTTCCACCAGTTTCCATCTGGTGCGTTTTATCTTTTCGCGCAGTCAGCGATCTTGTCTAAGGACAATACGGTGTTTGAGTCGACGAGTTCCGCGTTCGCATAACGAGAGGCTTTTCGCGAAATAAAAACGACGGAGATGATTTCATCGTATGCTCACTGATCCAGATAAATATCGACCTTAGCCTCTATAAATACCGCGCTTTTACCTAGGCTGATTTTTTGCCAACATTTTCGGACTCCATTTTTAACGCTTTTCCTTCGATTTATTTAACTACTCATAAATTCGGCATAGAATTACTATACATCGTACAGCGAATACAAATTGCAACGTCGAATATGTATCTCCAGAAATAAGGCGCCAAACCCTCGGAAATTGCAGCGCGCCAAATTCAAATGCCCTTAGCGCGCCAAATTCAAATGCCCTCAACGCGTGAAATGCAGACGCATAGAAAACCCCGCCCAGCGAATTTGCATCGAGCGTCGAGTTTGAATTGTCGAAAATTGCAACGCGAGAAATCGAGGAATTTTTCATACTATCAAAAATAAATTCCGACATTCTCCACGATGTTTATAAAACAACGTCTGCTCCATTTTTCTGCGCACGTATACACGTAGATATGGTTACCGTTTTTTCACAAGATTCGTTGTTGAAATTTTTTCTCCCCCGTACAACGGTACTCGTTATCTCGTATCTGAACATTGCGTCACGTCTGAAGATATGCGTAAAATTTCCAACACTTCGAAAGTTAGTCGTGCCTGGATCGGAATTCGTTTTTTTTTATCGACACGAGAGAGAAAGAGAAAGAAGAGGAAAAAAACTATACCAATATCGTTCGAAGCGTCATCTTTATTCATGTTATAATTTAAAACGAACCACGCGCTCAATAAAACGTTACCTTTTTTGTGTTTCTTTTTTATTTATTTGTTCCTGTTCCTGTGAAGTTAATAAATTCGTGAACTGTTCTTTATACCGTTCGATTGATTTATCGTTCTATTGTGCGAAATTTGGTAAAAACAAAATTCGCTTTAAAAAATTTCTTTGATTAAAATTTACTGGAAATATATAGCGGTGGATGAAAACGTATTAATTTTGAAAAAATATTTTCACCGTTAATAACTTTCAAAAACTACGTGGTAATTTGTTTTAAGAGGATTAAATGTAACAGGGAATTAATATGATCTTTTATCGAAAAGTAACATGGAAACAAATATGGTTTTGATTTTTAACTGAAGGTAAAATAAAGTTAGTTAAAAATCAACATTAACATTGTTCGCACAGATTGACCTCGATATTTTACCGTCTATTTTCTCGGTGACTATATATTAACCTGTGTATCGAATTTAAAAAAAAGACAAGGACTGAAAATAAAGTACGTTAAATTAGCCACGCGACAGCTTTCAAACTTGTTATCTCCTTTGTTTCTGATAACTTGTCACCTTCACCATTCCCGTTTATATTGCTACAACAAGTTTCGTTGTTCCACGATTTTATTTCATTAACTTTTAAAATACGCTCCACTGGAATCAATATTTAACAGTCATAAATTACCCGTCAATGTTTCACTAATCTTAACACTTTAAATATCTCGATAATTGCCAACGTAATTTATTCAGACGATTAGCTTGAATCGCTATAAATCGATTTTTAGCGCCATCTTGAAAATTAACCCATCAAACAATTACACAAGTTTATTCGTTACAATTTTATTCATAAATTTTCGATAAAGTTTAATCGGAGTTGAGGTTAAGATATTTGACACATGTAAAACTATTCCATATCGACATGGCAAGAGGTTAACACTCGATCGATCGTAGCACTCGACTTTCGATCGTTCGAAATCACTGTGCAGCTATCAGAATACCACGAAAACAGAATTCACGGGTCACGTGACAGTACGCTGCATTCTACGCCGCACCGATTCAACGAAGCCAATAATTAGCCACGCTTCCAGCTCCGTCGTCGATCCGTGTCAACAATAACTTCGAATAGCAGAGATTATCCGAGCATTTCAACGACCGAGGAGGTCATATGCACACCCGTGACAAAAATCGTACAGGCTAAATGAATAAAGTAGAACGATAAAAAGATGACATGAACCTTCCGGCGACACGCGCGTGATACATTGTTTTCGTACGTCGTAAAATTCATTAGAACCGGTGCACGAGTTTGACTCGAGTTAATGTTCAATCTCGAACGAAGAATAGCAGTGAGTGTGACGAGGCCTCTATAAACACGAGGAACAAATGTTCGAGACACGAGCAGCGTTGTTGCACGTTGCCGGGTTTCTTTCTTCTCGAGTCACTTCCTGCGCCGCCAAGTGACTCACGTGAATCACCAAGCAGTCAAGAAGACGACGAACAGGCGAAAGTATTCGAGGAGGCTACACGCTTCGTCCTTGCCGGTATGTTCGAACGTTTCTACTTCCTTTCCGGTCAAACTTGAATGATAAAGTTTATCGCGAAACTGATAAATCGCGCGGTTTAGATGTGCTGATATCGAGAACGTTGTATCGATAATATCGTCGGAGCTAATGAGAGTAACCGAAATAGCATGTAACGTGCAATTTTATCATTCATATTTATTTAATATAACCTAGCGTAATATGATAGGCAAATTATTCTTGTTAAGATCTTTAGCATTCGTTTGGATATGACTGAAACGTGTGTGTACGTTATATTGAGATATCGAGGTTAGGTTAGTTTGAATGAAAGGTGGTTATATAGGGGTTGGGTTAGGTCGTGGATAAGTTAGGCTAATATATTCAATTGATAAGATTATGTGTCAAGTTGTCGATGTGTTAAGTATCAATAAATTTCGATAATCAATACACCATTAAAATAGTTACGATCGGAACGAGATAGATCGTCGCACCTACCCTACGCGAAAAACTTGGACTGGAAACAACAGACACTATTTGACACGAGAAAAACCGGCACGGACACGAGCGATCGTCACGGCGCGAACAACGCCAGCGATAATTAGATGACGTAGGATCGTGGAACGTGATACGCGAGAAAATGGACGGAACGTAAACGAGAATTGTGGAGATCTTTAAAAATCAACGAAAGATCGAGTATCGGACTAAGAAAACGCGCGAGCGGCCACCGCGTATGATTTCCGGCGGCGTTTGCCTAGCGTGCCACGCCACGACCTCACGGGGGGGTTGGACGCTGTTCTTTTTTTAGAAACTATGTATCCCTATAGAGACATCGGTTTTCCCCTTACCTTTGCGTCTTCGAAATATTCGTTGAATACACTTGGTACTGTGTACTGGTTGTACCCGTACCCCTCGAATCTAATGGCCCCTCTGTCGCACTCTATCCGTCCCTTTCTTTCTTTCTTCCTCGCACACTCCTTCGTTCACTGTCTCTTTCCCTCTCGTTCTCCGTCCTTGTTCACGGCCCACTATATCCCAATCTACAGAGATTCTCCGGCGATTACTCGTTTCCTACTACTCCTGTGCTCGGTTCGTCGTCCCGTCGGCGTAGCGGACACATCGAAGGCAAGGGGAGGATCCGTGGACTGGTGCCGGTACGACGAGGCCACGGAACAAAGTAAAAAAGAAACCGAACGTGTCACTGGCTCAGATATTCCGCACTGGTCGAAAGTCTCGCGCGGCGCGGGTGCACCAAAGCTCCTCGGGGCACGGTCCTCCTTTGCTCGCCTCTCAGAACCGAATACGCACTGACTCTCGACGCGGTCGTTCACGCACCACGAAAATAACCTCTGTCCAAACGACGATCTAGCCGATCGAGAACGGTTCCTACGATTCTCTCGGTTTTCAGCACTTTCGCGAGAAGCAGCACGACACCAGCCCACGATTCTACCGTTATCTAGGGCGATGCCTCTCTGCTGCTCGCTGCTTTGCCCTCTGCCTGCGACTATGTAATCACCAGCTGACAAGATGGCGTACTCGGTGCCACGAACGCGACACGCGCCTGCGTTACCGACCGACCAATCCACTACCGCCATATATCGGTAATTCTCGAAATTCGAATTTCAAAGTATAATAAAATTATAATTAATGTTCTTCAAGCTTTAAACAAACTTAATAACTGTGTATCTAGTCAGCAATATAATTCTTTCGTTTTGTTTTTTATCTACACGCGAAGTCACGATTTATCAATCCTGATATTTATTTTTGTATTTTTATTATTAATATCTTAGGCAAACGAACGTATCTATTTGCTATTTATTTTTCCCTACAATATCTAACGTTAATTTTTTGTACTCAAACCTGCTTTGAAAACTGCATTGGAAACTTGTTTTATAATTATCGTGTACGTCACGAGAACTGTTTTTCTTACAGCTATATGTGATGCAATTTTGGCGGCATACTTTGATCCTTATTAAAGATTTACATGTTTTTATATCAATTTTTTGTATTTACTGATAAGTCAATACTCACTGACTTGCTGTAATTGCAAGAGTACATAGTTGATAAAGCAGGAAAAATGTAACAACATCAGTTTTAATGTTTGAGGTTATGTTTGTATTACGATGAGTATATTTTTCTTATTAATATCTATTACGTTGCATTTTTAAACATGAATATTTTTGTTTATAATCGCGAGTTTACTTTTTGTTATTAATTTGCTGAAAAAAATTAGATGTTACATGTTGTGTCATAAAAATTAAGACGTTGTTTTAAATTTTAAAATCAAAATGGAAAGAAAGAAAAAATATCGACAATTAATGAGTGCGACTCAAGCTGAAATTTTACGGTCGCATCAGAGGGATGACGATTTCATCAAACATTTAAGAGACAAACTTGTAGATTTTTTACAAATATTTGGAAGACAAGGAAGTTTAGTACCCTTTATTCATTCTGATATTCCGTTCAAATTAATTTATTTCTTTTTTACAACTGGAATGGGCAATCAAACATTGGGAGAAGAATACACTGGAATTGTACAAGCAAATTTAAAAGTTTCTAAAGTTCCATCATTGTTTGTACGTATTCAAAGTATTATGGGATCTGTATGTTAAAATGATTCATTAATACAGTACATTCATGCACTTAGGCAAGGGTTTTGGCAGTGATTTTGGAATGTTTTGGAGAAAAAGGATTATTAAAATTATTGAAAAGATTAGAATTATCGATTAATCATCCTTCCTCACAATTAAGACCTAATGTTGTAATGTTTTTAAACTCTGTTATACCAAAACTATATAGCTTGATACCTATTTTTATTGTTGTACATAAAGGATTATTTTATTTATTTGGTCAATATTATAGTCTAGGTAAAAGAATAGCAGGTATAGATTATGCAAAGGTAATATTGGTGTGATGTATTTATTTTTTAATATCAATTAATGCAGTTTGTACGAGTTCATTTTTTAAATTTGAAGGTGTATGGTCGGCGACCAACTGATAGTATAAGTTGGGGATTAAGATTATTAGGAGTTGCTACCATTGCACAGTGCATATTAAAAATCTGGCAAAGTAGTAACAGTGCAAATGATGTTGACAGATATATAGCAACTGATGATAAACATAGTAACTCATTATGTCAATTGTGTCTTGAAAAAATACCAACAACTACTACACCATGTGGTCATTTGTTTTGTTGGTTTTGTCTTACCGATTGGTTGAATTCTAAACCCCAGTGTCCTCTGTGCAGAGAACATGTTGTACCTTCAAGAATTGTATATGTAATGAATTTGTAACTTTCTCAATGTTTAAAAACTATTAAATGAAGAAATTATAAAAAATACATGCAAATATTTGTTCTTCTTTTGAATAATCAGTGAGTTAAGGGTAAATGATCCACTAGAGTTATTGTATAAGTTTTAACACTCTATAATTTGTTTAAATACTACTATTCATCTGTGCTAATAATTTTATACAGATGGTAGTAATAAATACACATACATGTACGTGATAAATGTAAAGCAAACGAGTAGACACACACATATTTACATATATATATACATATAAATATTTATATATATATATATACAAAAATATCAAGTTTTTATTCATGTCACGCGTATACACGCAGTTCTCTTGTATAACAATGCGTTATTCACATAAACGATAATGTACAATTATTTTATTTTCATTGTATAGCGTTTTATAAAATTCTCAATCGAATCAAGGAATCAATAACAATAAACTCATAATTGTGGGAAGTTAATGACGTTATAGTCACAAGGATGTGCGTTGAACAGAAAGAATGCCTACTTTTTCGGCAAAATTACCGAGTAACTGGCCGAAGCCGCTCGACTCGGAATTGTCTTTCATTCGAAATCCAACAGTGTGACTATAAGCGTTATAAAATATTCTTCTTAAACATTGCAACTTTTCCTTGCGGGATCTAGAACAAATATAAAGGTACATAGAATTTGAAACTTTTACCTCGTTCGCTGCGCGTTTATTATGATACCTACTGCGCTAACGATGCACACGCTTCATCTTCAATGATCGTTGTGCTTGATTCTTGAGACGCGTGTCCAGTGCAAGTCTCACAAAGGGGTTTGCAAACTAAACTAGATGTTAACCCATCTGTGAGAGGAGCATTGGCAGTCGTAGAACCACGTAAACTTCCGGTTCCCGATATCATTTGCCAAGAACCTCCAGATGACGAGGACTCGTTTCGTTGTCGCAATCGTCCGGGTACAGGAACCGCGACAGGGGAAGTCCGGTTAGGAGGCAGAGGTGATCGTGATCCATGAGAAATACCTTCTTTATTCGGAGAAGGATAGAATGACCATGGTACAACGTTTCTAGAATATTCATTAAAATTATATACCGTGTGTCTGTTCCACGCAATTGTTACAATAAAAAATATATTTGATTGAAAGAAGTATATGTACCCATTGCTATGAGAGTCATCCTGACTCTCTGTGGAAGCACAGTGAAACACAGTCGGTGGATTATTATCTTGACTATCCCTACTATTTTGACTAACAGAACTACACCAACTATTCAGACTTAAGTTGGAGCTGACTGAACTCAACGTAACTACCGATTCGCTATCAAACATTACGTTATCTAATTGCGAGTCACTGTCATTCCGTAGAACTGTATGCCTAGATCTGTTATGACGTAGGTGGATGCTGAATTCTTCGTCGTGAATATGCTTCAGAAAATAAAAGCAGAAAAAAAATATTTCTTCTCCTTTGCTTAATCTGTCCTCCAAATCGTGTCCAAATAGCATCCAGTCATATGCTATGGTGTAGTAAAGGATTTGATAGGCATTTAATGAAGTATGAATTGCACCATCAGCCCATAAACTGATCCTCAATAATGAAATAAATAACGGTGTGCGATCCCAACCTGTAAATTATAATTAGTGCTAATTGTATCTATCAAATTAAAAATTATATTGCATGAAAAGAATAATACCTACCTGAGATACAATGTATTAATATCCCACTACTACTATCACTCAAATATCTCAATATGAGTTTTAAATAATTTTGAGTAAGTTTGACTAGATCCCAGACTTGATATTGATCCCAATTGATTCGTAATTGAGTAGAAATCGAGTCTTCTGGCACACCAATTTGTGCATCTACGTGAGTCTGAGACCAATCAAATACCAAACCTTTAGCTAGGTAGTCGTTTTCTCTAAACTCCCTAAAGAATTCACATCCAGGATATGGCAGTGAAATTAGGGTGAAGTCGGAGTACCTCTTCTCTTTGTCTACTTTCTCCGAGGATGTCACGCTGAGTACCGAACAAAAGAGCTCTGTTTAAGGTCCTCTAAAAGTGGATTCATAGAATAAAAAAAACTGATCATGCTATTAACTGCTATGAAATTTCACTGAATCTGTGAAGAATTGTTTTCATAGTTACTTATGGTTTAAATCCTTTTCCCACAGAATTACATATTTAAATAAATTAATAAAAATTCACAAAATAAAATACTGATATTGATTGTTTAAAAAATTTCAATAAATAAAATGAATAATATATAACTGCATGCTAGTTGTATATTTATTTCTATATTGTTCAATAGCACTTTCATTAATACAAGATGACTTTCAAAAATAATGGAAATGACACTCATTAGAACCACTCCTTTCTGCAAATGAAGCATGCATAAAAATTTGCTGTTTCAGTTTATTTACTTACTTCATTCCAAATTTGACCTTCTTCTTCTCAACCATAAAATCAATTATAGTTCCTACATTAAGCGTTTTCAGAAGCTTGATGTCTTGATGTCTAACTTTATCAAACAATTGCCAGTCACTAAGTACAGAATCACCCCCACGAGCTTCATCTACTTGTTGTATTGAAACTATTCCTTCGCTACCAGCAAATAAATAATCTAGCCCAGATCTACCATAAATTTCTGGTCCTCCAGATAGAGTGGCTGATCTGCACACATGTCTACCCTTATACAATATTACTGGCAGTGGAAATCTTGAACGACACCTAGCAAATCTAGCACTTTTGATCAATTCCTTCAATTTATTAGGGTCATACATGCTTTCATATATAGTCTCTGTTGTGCGTGGCAGTGGTGGTGGTGTATCACACATATTTGGATTTCTATACTTCTCATATTCTAAAATGATAAGATGGCTAGGATAGTGCGCGCTGAGATCACCTCCATTATTATTTATTATAGAGTGAGTATAATCTAAATCAGTGAGCAGCAGACATCTTTGCATGACTGCTTGACTCTAAAAAAAAAACATATTTTACAATTATAAAATCTGAAATTTGTACCATACATATGTGCATGTAAGAATATTACCGTGCTATCTGCATCCTTAGCTCGATAAGTATTTTTTGAGAAGTATATAAGAAGCTTCTGTAGATCTTGAATAGTGATTTCTGTCATGATCGGAGTAACTTTATCCAGAATTTTTCATACAAATTTTAACAAAAAGATGATTTGTTTTTTAAGGTGGTCCTAAATTTCTATAATTCTCATAAGGATGTTCGTGAAACATTAACTGTGGCCAGTGTCTTATACATGAAAGGAATGGCACAAGCACTATATTTAAAATACACCACATCACAATTTAACATTTGTTATGCTCTAATTGTCATGATTTCTTCTTAAGATTAAACTATATTACTTCTCATATAAACATAACATTATAAATTTATAAAAACATAACATTATTTGTCAAATACATACAGTTTTAAGTCTACAGGATATCAATGATTTTATTAATTGAATCTTTATAAAACAAATCCATGCTTAGAAAATAAAAATAATAATAATTAAAAATTACAGCAGAAAGTAAAAATTTCACTTCACTGTTTTAATTTCCAATACAATTTTTCAAAATAAATATATATGTATAATTATGTAAAATATTATTGAACAAATATTATACATTCATATATTACATTAATAGCACCATATGTGGAAGATTAAACTTATATTGCTTTTATTATTTAGAAAAAAAGTACTTCTCATTTTTGTCAATGTTTCACAATAAAATTTGTTTAAACTTATAAACTGGTGTTAAAAGTGTTGCAACTTCACAAAGTAAGTATTAACAAGCATTATTCTTCAAATATAAATAATAGTACTGGTGAAACAATCACTCGTGTCTTTAATATTTACATCCAAAAATTAACAGAATATATTTCATTTACTTTTTCCAGTTTCACAACGTGCAATAAATCGTTTGACTTGATTTTGCTTCTTCTTTATGTGCAGTCACAAATCAAATCCGAACGTCCTTCCTTGACAGTGTAAATTTTTTGTTTGACAATGCAGCCGAAGTAAGATGAACAATTGTTCGTTTACAATTTCCTTTTCCACAAATTTGAGCAACAATTTTGTCGTAACAATGTAGACAACGCGTTGTAGTAACTTAACCTGATTGAAGCCATGCACACCGCTTTCATCACAACGAACGTATTAATTAATGTTTAAAAAAGTTCACGAAAAGGTTCATTGAATAATAACCGAATGTGAAACTGGACAGTTTGTCACGGGAAATATCCATGGTATTTCATCGTGTTCCAATTTCGATGAACATCCGACGAGATAACCTAAACATCACTCGTAAAAGAATGCGTTGCACGTTACTCGCAATTATTTGAATTCGTCCCAAGCACAATGTCATCCTTTTTCTTTTTGTTTACAGTGAATCCCCTCGTATCTACACTAACAAATCTGTTTTCTTATCACGTTCACGCGTCGCATTTAAAGGTCGCTCTTATTAAAGGACAGTCGTGTTTCTCCTCTCCGCTGTCGATTTCGTATCACTAACACGGTACGTCGACCTTGATTTCTGTCCTTTCACCCACGCAGCAACAAACACGGAAAAATAATCTCGATTTACAACAAATAACGATATTTTTTTCCTCTCCGTTAATCCGCAAGCAAAGCAAAAACCAGTTGTCTGGCAGGATGAAAGTGTGAAGTGAAACGCGGCGTACGGAGATAACCTATTTCTGCAATGTGGAGAACGCGTGCTTTGCTCCGAAGGTGTCGCGAATTTTCGCAAATTTAATAAACACGTGTAATATTCTTTCGTAAAGAATGTAACGTAATTATAAAGGATTTCTTAAACTTGATTATTATAATTTTTCACTATTTCAGTAACATCAAAAAATTATCAACCTACTCAATGAATTATGTATTTCTATACATTCATTTATACAAATTAAACGATGCTAATTATATTTTATCCTTACTGCGATTACTTTTGAAAATATGATTACAGCGTTAAAAAATATCCATTTACTATTTTACCAATAATGAAATTATTATTTATATATTTATATACAGTTTCTTTTTATAGGGTTATAGCAGCGTATCGATAATTATAAATTACTGACTCAACAGGAAACGATGTTTCCAAGTTCGACGTAATTACGCATTTGTACATTTACGAATGTACTAATATGGATGCATTTTAAATTAATTAGGTTTCTAATTTCAAATAATACCGCGCTTTAAAACCATATCTGTAAGCGCCATTCATTAGTATCAACATTCCAACGCTAGATGACTACACCATTTCCATGTCCGATCTATTCAACTTTTTAAATTATCGATCTTAAAGTTTTGAGTGATCTGCAAAGTCATTGTACAGATTCAAGTGAAGTCGTATAATGATCTGCTGCACTAATTAAAGCGTAAGACCTATTTACATAACAAAAACAGGCAATTTTTTATTTTGTTAGTATCATGACTTATCGGTAGATGACACCAGTGTCGCCGTTTTTAAAGTTCAGATGTAAAATTGAAAATCATTTAAAAATAAAATTTGTATAATGCGTTTAGTTTGTCAAATTCGTTCTTTTTTATGTATAAGTCAAATTCTACTCCCTAGGTAACCTATATAGATATCGATGTGTACATCATTCGATATTCAAAATGATCAGTCGTTAGTATGGAATACGCAACAAAAGCATTGACAGAGTCAAGGTTCCGAGCAACATTTGTATTTCATATTGTGTGACACGAACTTTTATAAGATGGTTAATGTATTGTGTACTTTGTCCGCGATACGTGCAAACAAAACATTTGACTTTCATTCTACGAATTATTGACACAAGAAGAATTAAAACCTGACACGTTTTATCGTTTCAGTTCGAGATGGCGGGGTTCTGCGCAGCTAAAAGGCCACTCCAGTTCCAGCGCGGTGCGCATGCGCGAACGGTCGAGTGTATTTCTGGACAAACGATCCAGTGGAATTGGAACAGGAACGGTCGTGAATCAGGACTGGCACGAGCTAGAGGTGGCAATAAACGCAAGATGGCGGGTACGCGATGAAACGGTGTTACGCCGTGGATGGATCATTGTCAATTTTTCACGGACAGCGCGTCCGTTCTGTGTGATATTCGCGTTGGTATGGGGCCGGGGGCGTTTCTACATGTGCCGCGTGCTGATAAACGACGCGCGTGCCTTTCGTGATTCCGCGAATCGCTGAGGAGAAACATTCGCGAGCAAGCACCGAACGCGAGACAGGACGAAACGTGTGTGCGCGCTCAGTGAAAGTAAACAAACGGTATGAGTGCTGTACTGGGTAGTGTCGGTGACCCGGGCGGTCTCTTGGACCCCGACGTTGAGAGCATCCTCGAGGAGAAGAATCAATTGATCAGCCGGCAATATGCAGAGATCGAGCGGTTGCAACGTGAGCTCACGGAGGTCATCGGTGAACGGGACGCCCTGCTCTGCGAGGTGTCAAAATTCAAGTTTGAGCGCGAGATGACCGACCTGACGCGTCTACTCGATGACAGGTATTTGCAACTTTCTTTTATTTTCATTGTTCGATTTATCGATAATCGTTCGAACGGTTTCTACGCGTTTCGCTCGTCGCGATCGGAACAATGACACGAGTCTCGGCTGCGAAAAGACGTTGACGCCGGTTGTGTTGACGCGGTTACGTAGATACCTGGCATAGGTGAAGGTTTCGTTCCACGATTCGAGTAGGCGTTCGCAACTATGCGTATTAGCCAAACGTGGAAAGGCTGTATTAATAAGTAATCAGCGGCTTTTCATTCGTATCTTTCACTAGACACGCATGCATACCTCGATTCATTAATACAGTTGCCGCCACAATAGCCATACGTATTAAGGCACAAAACGATTTTATGATTTTAAGAGCAATCGTTTTCATTTCTTTATTATATAAATCATAGTACGATCTAACGCGTAGTTGTGCAATTTATAGCGATATAATGCGTGGCAATCTAAAGCTGGCCTCTTAGACAAAGATTAAAAATATTATCTACTAATATCTATACTTTATCATTTATTCACTCAAAATAACATCATCGATAAATAACAAGTTTCAGGCGATAATTCTTTCATAAAGATTCGCTTCGGCTTTTAATTATCTTTCGTGCAAAAATATGCATATATAAAAATGTATGAATAAGGTTTACATAAAAGAATGATTCGGTTTTGTTTATCAGCGATTCGACGAGTCTGCAGATTGCAAATGGAATTTTCCAAAGCCCCGAGCAAGTCAAAAGTTCATAATCGCGTACAAGTTGGTTAATTATTTTAATCGAATATCGTGCGTTATTTTCTTCCTCATTTTAGTAATACTGTATGCATCTGTGTACTTTGAACAAGATTAATGTTCAATATTATATGCATGGGAACATCAGGAAAGTTTGAAGGGAAAAAATTCCTTCATTGCACAACGTAATTGGTAAAAGTTCTCGTTATGCACCAGTTTGCTCGATGAATTTTGTCGTAACAATCATTACGTTAAGTAATTATTCATTTCCGAAGAATTCTGTCGTTCGTTAATTTCTGTTTCCATATTACGTAAACATTATAATGGTTCATATGGATGAATATTTCAATTAAATTGAAAATCCAGTTCTCCATAATTAACCCTAAATATTTTACGCCAAAAATTGTGCAATAAATTCATTGATAATAAAAAACATTGTTATTGCGACCTATGGCGGAAGTTAACAATAAACAGTACTATCTAAGCAGTCCGATGATAAAGAAAGAAAAAGAAAAAAAAAGATAACACCGTATTTTTGACGTCTAACGGTGACTAATAAGCAGACAATTAACCTTGATGCAGTCGGTCGTTTCTATCGATTATCGCGACATGAGAACATAGGAAACCTCTCTTCATACTACATTGTGTGTTGTTCGTCCAGAAATTGGGTCGATCATTAAATCGCGCGTTGCGTTATCTAAAATCGATGCGCCGTAATAACTTCAGTAAAACTAACTGTATCGTCGTCTTGCATTCAATCGATTTAATACGCGTGCGAAACTTTGTCCGAACCGTGATATGATCGTCTTGTAATTGTAAGCCGGCGTCTTCGATCTTCTTTCCAGACGGTCGCTCACTCCTCTAATATCACCTTATAACAACTTTTAATACAATATACTTGTCCAGACAGATTATTATAGATCTGGTATCTGGAACATTTTCTGTAATTTTTATATTAAATCAAATTCAATTTTCATGTTTAGGAATTTACCAGATGTTTCCGTGCATTTTACCCCTAGATGCTGCATCGCGCGTTTTATTACTCGCGCATTATATTATTCGTGCGTTTTATTGCCTACGTGCTGTATTACATGCGCGTTGTATCGCTGCGCGTTTTATCCATCACGCATTGTATTATCCACGCGTTTTATCACCGCGCGTTTTATTGCCTACGCCTTGTATTACCTATATATTACATTTACGTTATATTACAGCGCGTTTTATGCGTCACGCGTTGTATTACTACGCGTTGCAGTATCCACGAATTTATCACCT